CTGCAAAGATTATTCAGATTTCAGATGTCCAGAGGCACCTCGCTTGCGGCTCATGTGAACAACTACACTAACTTATTGTCGAACTTGGCGAACGAGGATGAGAAGATCACAGATGAGTACAAGACTATTATTCTTTTGGGCTCCTTTCCGGATGAGGAGTATGATACCTTCGTGCTTACGTTGCTAAACGGGAGATCTTCTATCACTTACAGTGAAGTGACTAACGCATTGACGAACTATGATTTGAGGAGGAAGGATAAGGAGACTTCCCGCGCTAGTACTTCAGGAGAGGCCTTGTCGACGAGAGGTAGAAGCTCATATCACAAAGGTGGAAATAGAGGGAGGTCAAAGTCAAGAGGTCGTCACTAGCTTGGAAAGAACCAATGTGCATTCTGCAAAGAGCAGTGACATTGGAAGAGAGACTGCCCGAAAGTCAAAGAAAAGGAGAATAGAAAGAATAAGGGCCTGAAGGCCAATGAGGTGAATGTTGCGAAAGGCGATGATTCCGATGATTCGAGCTTTTCTCTTTTGATTACTCTGGAGGTGAACCATTTGGATGCATCAGAGCGGATGCTTGATTCTGGCGCTACTTATCATGTGACTCCTAGGAGAGATTGGTTTTCATCATTTGAGAGACTCGACGGGGGTGTTGTTGTCATGGGAAATGATCAATCCTGTGTCGTGGGATAGGTACTGTGAGGATTCGGATGCACGATGGAGTAGTCCGTGAGCTGAAGGAGGTGAGATTCGTTCCTCAACTTAAGAAGAATCTTATCTCAGTGGGGGCTTTGGAGGCGAAGGGATTCAGGGTGACCTTTGAGGATGCTGTAGCAAAGGTTACTAAGGGATCTTTGGTGGTGATGAAGGGAGTCCGAAATCATAATTTATATTATCTGAAGGGGAGCACCGAGATTGGCCAGGTTGCTTCGGCTATTTCAGAGGCGGACATGAGCAGACTTTGGCACTACAGGCTAGGGCATACAGGTGAAAAGTCACTGCAGGCATTGTGCAAGCAGGGGCTTTTGAAGGGAGCCAAGAGTGGTAAAGTAGAATTCTGTGAGCACTGTGTACTTGGCAAGAAGACGAAGGTGAAGTTCGGGACGGCCATTCATAGGACGAGGGGCATCTTGGACTACGTGCACACAGATGTTTGGGGTCCCACCAAGACGGCATCTCTTGGCGGTTGACATTGGTTCGTCACATTTGTTGATGACTATTCTAGGCGTTGTTGGGTGTACACCATGAAGCATAAGAGTGAAGTCCTAGATTTGTTTGTGGAGTGGAAGAAGAGATTGGAACTGCAGACTGGGAGAAAGATCAAGACGTTAAGATCCGACAACGGCGGCGAGTATACTTCAGACCCCTTTCAGCAGCTATGTTGAGACGAGGGCATAGAGAGGCACTTCACAGTTAGTCATACACCGCAGCAGAATGGGGTGACAGAGAGATTGAATCGGTCTTTGCTGGAGAAGATTCAATGTTTATTGGCGCATAGTGGTTTGGAGAAGATCTTTTGGGCTGAGGCACTTTCTTATGCGAGCCACCTCATTAACAGGCTGCCTTCATCTGCGATTGAGGGGAAGACCCCTATGGAGATGTGGTCGGGAGAGACAGCACATGACTATGACCAGCTTAAGGTATTTGGTTGCCCTGCATATTATCATGTTAGAACTGATAAGTTGGAACCTCGAGCTAGGAAGGTCATATTTGTAGGATTCAAGCGTGGTGTCAAGGGATACAAGCTTTGGGATCCAGTTGATAAGAAGATTGTGCTGAGTAGGGACGTCACATTCGATGAGGCTTCTATCTTGAAGCTTCCCAGCTCTCATCAGGTGGAGAGCGACCCGACCGAGGAGATTTCACAGGTGGTGGAGATTGATGCAGCTCCACAGAGTCCAGATAGTGCAGTATCCATTAGAATGCTGACTGAGGTGACCCCAGGCGAGCACGACGGTGATGCGGAGGATACGGGTACTCATGAGCAGGATCAGGGACCGACGGCTCAGGTTCAGGATTCTATTGCGGCACGGAGACAGAGGAGAGACATACGGGTGCCAACACGGTATGCCGACACAGTTGCATATGCACTTCCGGTAGAGAGTATCAATGAGATGGTGCCTACTACATTCAGAGAGGCTGAGCAGAGTTCGGAGGCTGATTCGTGACAGGTGGCTATGCAGGAGGAGATGAAGTCCCTTCATAAGAACGATACATGGGAGCTTGTAGAGCTTCCAAAGGGGCGGAAGGCGATTGGGTGCAAGTGGGTGTACACGAAGAAGGAGGGCATTGAGGGCACTCCAGTGAGGTTCAAGGCTAGGTTGGTTGCGAAGGGCTATGCACAGGAGGAAGGTATTGATTACAATGAGGTTTTCTCTCCGGTGGTGAAGCACTCTTCGATTCGGATTCTGCTAGCTTTGGTGGCACAGTATGGATTAGAGTTAGATCAGTTGGATGTAAAGACGGTATTTCTTCATGGTGATCTTGATGAAGAAATATATATGACTCAACCATTGGAATTCTGAGCTGCAGGGAAAGATAAGTTGGTTTGCAGGTTAAAGAAATCGCTATACGGTTTGAAGCAGTCTCCTCGACAGTGGTATAGGCGATTCGATGGTTTTATGCTTGGTCATTCGTACACTCGGAGCCAGTTTGATCCTTGCGTGTATTTTCGCAAGTTGAGAGGAGGTGCGTACATTTATTTGTTGCTTTATGTCGATGACATGTTGGTTGACTCTAGTTCCAGGTCAGCTATAGATGAGTTGAAAGTTCAGCTTTCGAATGAGTTTGAGATGAAGGACTTGGGCGAGGCGAAGCACATTTTAGGGATGGAGATTGGCAGAGACAAGAAGAATGGCAGAATTTGTTTGACACAGGTGGCTTATTTGAAGAATGTTCTACAGCGATTCCATGTTAGCATGGATACAAAGCCAGTTAGTGTACCGTTGGGAGCCCATTTGAAGCTTTCAGCTGGCCTTTCACCGAAGTCAGTTGAAGACCGTGAGTTGATGTCGAAGACTCCATATGCGAGCGCAGTTAGGAGCTTGATGTACGCGATGGTATGTACGAGGCCGGATTTGTTATATGGCGGTTACGGAGGCTGTGAAGGGGGCTATTTGGCTTCGAGGACTTTTGGAAGAACTTGGTATATCGCAGCGATCCGTCACTATTCATTGTGATAGCATGAGTGCTATATATTTGGCGAAGAATCAGGTTTTTCATGCGAGGACGAAGCACATTGACGTTCGTTATCACTTCGTTCGGGATGTTCTTGAAGATGGCGATGTGGAGATTGTGAAGGTCCACACGAAGGATAATCCGGCGGATATGCTCACAAAGGTGGTTCCGAGCAACAAGTTTGATCATTGTAGAAACTTGTTGAATATTTGTGATTGTTGAGGCCGTTGGCGGCCATTTGGATGAACTACGGGCGGCTTGATCCCTTGGGAGAGGGGGTACGTAGGCAACCATGGTGGTGCAGCCGTATTTGGAGAGACGACACATTGATGCTCTTGGTTTGGTGTCGGCTCAGTTTTGGCAAAATTCACCGAGGTGAAGAATTGTGGAGAAATCAGAAAAACCAGATTTTCTGGCATAAGTCGACTCATGCACAAGGCTAAGTCGACTTATGGTAAGTCGACTTGTCAGTGGTGCACGAGTCTCATTACGATCTGCACTGGAGTTATGATTTTTCGCTCTGCCAAGTCGACTTATCAGGCCTGATAAGTCGACTTATGAAGTGGTCTCCAGTTGCTGTTTTTCTCTCTGCCAAGTCGACTTGTGGTGACTGTTAAGTCGACTTACGATGGGTATTTTGCATAATCAGGTTTCCTGTTTGCACTCTGATTAGGTTTTTGTTTTGATATAAATAGGGAAACGATTTGTTAGGGTTTTTTATCAGAGATTGAGGAATCTTTTGAGCATTGTGAGAGGGAGATATTGTGAGCAAGGTGAGATCTTTGGTTGAGGGTTAGTTAATTGAGAGTTTTGTGTGATTGTAACCCTTTGTACTCTCCTTGAATTAGTGAAATCTCCCCATCCTCTCCCTGTGTGATTGTAACCCTTTGTACTCTCCTTGAATTAGTGAAATCTCCCCATCCTCTCCCCGTGGACGTAAGCAAGTTGCCGAACCACGTATATCTCTGTGTTTGGTTTGATTTGTCGTATTTGGCTTGGTTTGTGCAAGAGTGTGGCTTTCTTCTTCCGTGATCTCAAGTTCGTTGTGTGTGCGTGCAACGCTTCCGCATAGGCGCGCGACAAATTGTACATAAATACACATAATCAACCTTGAGGAAGCAATTACATAAACACTAGCATTTCTGGACGTGCAAATGCATGTGCATGGGAATTTAAATTTTTTACTTTTTCACCATGCATCTTCTTTGTTTCAAATTTTAGGTGGTGATTTTACTAATTTCTTACATCTTCTATTATAATATTATCTTTATAATTTTTTTTACTCCATAGCATACTCCAAAACATCATAAAGGTGAGGAAGACTTTTCCACTCATTATTCTAAGTTAATTTGTAAAATAAAATTATTATTTTCTGTTTAATATAATCTATATCTTAAAAATATAAAGTTGCTTAATTATATGCACTTTTCATGGCGTGTGTTGTCTAGATCAATGTTCTTGAAACAAATAAAGAGAAAAGAAAAGAGAGGAAAGCGTCTATTTTGTACAATTACCATTTTATTCTTTCAAGTACAACGTTATTTCCACGTCACTGAAATGATCTAGCATGCTCCTGAAGAAAAAAGATTAAAGAGGAAAATATTCTTGGCAAAATAACAACTTTACCTTTTAAATCACAATTGCAAGGAGCAAATGTCCACTACTCATACAATTGTCTGATTGCCCTCACAGTTTTTTATATAGTGGCTACAACGTCAAATATAGAACATAACCAACCTGCAAAACTTGAATTGCTATTTGTTTTGTTCTCGGTAATGTATAGAATTTTTTCCCCCTCTATGTAGAGATATCCAGACGCCAACCCGTATAAAAATCTGACGTTTTGGTTGCTAACATTATGCTTCAAAATAAGAACAATCTTTCCCTTTAGTACCAAAAATACGAAAACCAATTACATATCAAATTGATCTCACAAACTTCCAATTAAAGTGATGTGCGTTTAGTTGTACAATTACTGGACAACAGCACACCACTAGGAGGTCCGGTGACCGCAATGTCGCAATGTCCGCGCAAACCGTAACTAAGACGCAAGAACGTCCCCACGAAATCCGATACCGCTACGAACGAGCCTTTAACCTCCATCTTCACTCCATCTCGTGCCCCCGTCTCCCTACTCCATTCCTCGGCTTGGTTCGTCGACAGGGCTACCTCGCTCGATACCATGTGTATGCTCCTCAACGTCGACTCTCCTGCCCGCTCAGAGAACCGATCGATGCCCTGAGTGGCGATCATGGTCCCTTTGAAGTACAAATCGATGGCCACGTATCGAAACGTGACGGCGATTTTGCGATTGGGGTTTGTGAAATTAGCCAAAATGGTGAGGTCAGCATTCAGAAGCGCGCCGGCGTCAAGATACGCGCCATTGAGCGTGACGCTGGAGATTTCGAATTTTGGGCTTTTGGGGCGGAAAAATAGGTACACGATTAGAATGGTGAGGCCGCCGATAAAGATAATGGCCCACAGAATAGCGCACAGTACGGCAGCGATCCAAGCCCATGGGCTAGTTCTGCGCACCGTTGGGGCCGTCATTGGGGGATACCTGTAGGGCCCATTTGCATCTCGTTTGGGCTCCCGTGTGGTTTGGTTATGGAAACTCTCTCCATTGTTAGCGTGCGGTTGCGTGCGCTCGTCGTGATGAGCGTTGTCGCCTAAGGGGCCTGGTTGCGATGAGGAAGGATCCACAGGTGGCTGGTATTGGCCAGGACCATAATCGGGATGGCGGGCTTTGTCTCCGAAAAGGCCCGGCGGCGGCGTGTGGCGGTCTTCATAGGGACCGTACGGGCCTTGACTACGATCTCCGACATATTGGACTTTCTTGTTGAAGAGGTGCGGTTCAGGTGAGGAGTCCCCGAAAGATACCCGGGGCATGGTTATGGGAAGAAACTGAGCAAAAAGAGAGGGGGGAAGAAGAAGAAGAAGAAGAAGAAGAAGAAGAAGAAGAGAGATAATGCTAAGGTATACAGTGGCTTAATTAATTGACGTGAGGAGACTAGGAGAAATTAACAAGGGTTGATAAATGTTTTTTAAGTAATGTAGGAAGAGAGGGCGCCAAGAGGAGGCAAGGAATCGAAAGATTCAAGAGTGTTGAGTGAAATGTTTGAGAGGCAAGTAATCCGTTTATACCTATTAGCTAGATGTCCCATAGCACGTTACGAGTGACCACCAAGAACAACTGTGCAGGAATTATTTTAAAACTGGAGGATGGCTCTTCTTTTTTTTTTTTTTTGGTAAATGAAAACTTCTATTCATTTTAACGTATGGAAGAGTTATGTACAGCTTTTTTTTTTTTTTTTTTTGGTAAATGAAAACTTCTATTCATTTTAACGTATGGAAGAGTTATGTACATCAGGAACTCTTATACTGAGGAACTCTTATACTGAGTATGCTACAAGCTGTTGAAAGAAAAGAAAAGAAAGAAACACAGCAAAAGAGAGAGAAAAAAATCCCTGACTAACTAAAACCTGAAGAACAGAACCTGAAGGAACCGCTAAAATTTATAAAGAAATTATCCATTCCTTAATCTCTGCAGGTATATCACTGTTGAGGATGATTGTCATCAAATCCACCTTAATGATTTTAACTAGCTGCTCTATCTATCATTCTAGATTTCAGAGTGAAAATCCTCTCATTCCTTTCCAACCAAATGTTGTATATTGAGGAGGAAAATGTCATTCTTTTTATTCTTTGCTTGAATCACTTCCCCCTCAATCTGGAACTGTACCAGTTTATTAACTGGTTCCAATCACAACTTCTCCATTTAAAGTGTAGCCAGTCCATAATTCTGTTCCAGATTTCTTTCGAGTAATTGCATTCAAAGAAAATGTGATTTCTACTTTCAGCATCTGATTCTGAGCATAAAACACATTTGTTTGCTTGGATAAATCCTCTACTGGTCAGTTTATCATGTGTTTAAAGCCTGTCTTGAACAGCAAGCCAAGCAATGACAGAATGCTTAGGGTAGTTTAATCCTCCCCAGATAGTGGTGCACCATGCATGGTACTTTGACAGTGGCAGAGGATAAGGCATGATACAGGCTCGAGAGCTTGATTTTAGAACTTTTGCTACATGACCTGATTAATTCTACTAAGTTTTCCTCCATAATGATATTCAAAGCTTTGTTTCTGATTTTCAATAATTGCTTCCACATCCAAGAGTCCCCCACTTTTGTTTCCGCTTGCCATATGTTCATGTGTTTCAGAAATGTGACATGGATCCATTTGATCCATAAGCATTCCTTGTTTGCATGAATATCCCAAATTTTCTTTAATGCAGTTGCATAATTCCATAAGATTGAAGAGAAAATCCCCAGGCCACCATATATTTTCCCCGTGCATGTTTTTCCCATGATACCAAGGGAGTCTTGAAGACTTGATCATTTTTCCCCAGAGGAATTTCCTGCAGTGTTCATCTATCTTTTGAAGCACTTTAACTGGAAATATATAGCTGGAAGTCCAAAAAATTTGAATGTCAAGGATGACACTCTTAATTATCTATATTCGGTCATCATATGACATATTCCTTTGCTTCAAGCAATTCTGAAATTGTGTGGTGATTCTATGAAAGAGGGGGTTGCAATCCTGGTAAGTGAGCCTTTTGCAAACTAAGGGGACCCCCAAGTTACGTATCTGATAGACATACTTCCCTCAGTAAAACCCAGAAACTCCTTGATATTATCCTTGACAGGCTCAGTCACTCCTCCATAAAATTTGTTTGGGTTTGCTTCAAGCCCAGACACTTCACTGAAACTAGTAATACATTGGTAGAGTTTCTGAATTGAACTAAGATCCCCTTTGCAAAATAACAAGAGATCATCAGCGAAGATTAAATGAGTGATATTAAGCCTTCCACATTTTGAATGAAATTTGAAGCTTCTGTCCTGTTTCAGAAGGTTAAGGCTTCTGGAAAGATATTACATCCCTAAGATGAACAAATAGGGAGAGAGATGATCCCCTTTCCTTAATCCTCTTTCTCCCTTGAAGTAGCCATGAAGGGAGCCATTAAGGAAGATGGAGTATTTTGGAGTAGATATACAAGTCATGATCCCACTAGATAGAAAACTAGGGAAGCCCAAGCCTTTTAACATTTCCTCAATGAAATTCCAACTAATGGTATGAAATGCATTTTTAATATCAATGTTTGTCATAACTCTAGGGGAAATATGTTTTCTACCATAGTTTTTTTAACTAATTCATGTGCTAGAAGGATATTATTTGCAATATGTCTACCCTTTACAAAAACACTTTGAGCTTCACTAATGAGACACCCCATAACTGATTGTAATCTGTTTGTAAGAATTTTTTTTATATCACTTTATATAGGCAATTGCAGCAAGAGATTGGCTTGAAATCAGAGGGAGTATTTGGACAGTGTACCTTAGGGATAAGGGTGATAGATGTTGAATTTATTGTTCCCAGCAGCTTCCCTATTTTGAAAAATTCCTCTATTGAAAGTGTGACCTCCTCACCAACAATAGACCAAGCAGATTTGAAAAAAGAAGCTCCATATTCATCAGGAACTGGAGATTTGTTATCAGGCATAGAGAGTTTTCTGAGCAATTTGGTTAGGGTTTTGTTTGAGAGATTTGAGAGGTTTGTTGAGAGATTTTGAGTAAATTTGTAATATTTATTTGTACTTTCCTTCTATATTAGTGAAAACTCATCCCCTTCTTGCCCCATGGACGTAGGCAACTTGTCGAACCACGTAAATTTTGTTTGTTTGTGTTTGTATCGTTATTTTGATTGTATTTGGCCTTCTCTCTCAGCGTTTGTGTTTACCCTCAGAACCCCAACAAGTGGTATCAGAGCACCAAACTACGCTTAGGATTAGGTGGAGGAGTAGATCACTTTGGAAGCTCGTCTACGGCTTCAGTTAGAGGTAAAGGTGTGATTTTTATTATTGTGGATCTTGTCTTCCGTCGTGTGAGGGTGAGATCTTTTGGAGGCTCTTATTAGGGTTTCAGTTAGAGGTAAAAATCAACATTTCTTGTAGTTTGGATCTATCTTTTAGTTTGTTTTGCATTGGTTTGTTGGTGTTTTGAGGAAGATGACTGAGAAAGGAGGTGTTGAGAGTGGTTCTTCTGGCGTGAAGACCGTTCAAAGTTTGAATATCCACTCTATGAAGATAGATGTGTAAAAGTTTAATGACACGAATAACTTTGGATTATGAAGATGTGAAGTTTTGGATGTGCTGAACGCGTAAAATTTGGAAGATACTTTGGAGTTGGACGGCAAGCCGGGCGACATTGAAAAAAGGCTTGGAAGAATATGAATCGGACGGCGTGTGACATTATTATGTCTTGTTTAACGCAAGATCTAAAGTATGATATGATCAATGAGACTTCGGCAAAGAAGATTTGGGAGATAGTTGAGAGCAAGTATTTGACAAAGAATATTGATAACCGTTTGCATTTGAAAATAAGGCTTTACCGTTTCCAGTTGAAAAAGGAAATCTCAATTAGTGATCACATGAACAACTATACGAAGCTTCTTGTGGATTTGACGAATGTGGATGTTATGATCGATGATGAGGACAAGACATTATTGCTATTGAGTTCCTTACACCTGACGAGGAATATGAGACTTTTGTTCTTACCCTAATTAATGGAAAGGCATCTCTTTCGTATAGTGAGGTCACCGCTGCACTTGTGAACTATCAGCTTAGGAAGAAGGACAAGGATTCGTCTAATGATGTAGTAGCGGAGGCATTGACCGCAAGAGGAAAAAGTCCAAACCGAAATAGGAGGTCGCAGTCTAGAGAAGCACATCCTTCAATTGGTAGGAATCAATGTATTTTTTGTAAAGAAGATAAACATTAGAAGTCTGAATGCCCAAAGTTAAAAGATCGAGCCGGGAAGAATAATGGAAAATGTATACAAGCTTCAGAGGTGAATGTTACCAAGGCTAGTGGGGACAATTCGGATTCGGATTCTTCGGGCTACTCGTGTCCTGCACTATCGTCAGTTTGTGATGCTGACTCTATGGAGTGGATGTTAGATTCAGGTGCTTCATACCATATTTGCCCTAGGAGAGATTGGTTCTACAGCTTTGAGGAGTTGGAAAGAGAGGATGCCGTGCTCATGGGTAATGATCATGAATGTCCTATTAGTGGTATTGGAACAGTTCGGATCAGAATGTGTGACGGAGTGACTAGGGAGTTGAAGGAAGTGAGGTTTGTTCCACAGTTGTCGAAGAACATCATTTCACTTGGAGTTTTGGTGGCAGCAGGCTATAGGATGATCTTAGATGATGCATCTCTAAAAGTCATAATGGGGTCCATGATTGTAATGAAAGGCATCAGAAAGAATCATTTGTACTATTTAATTGGAAGCATGGTGATAGGTGGAGCGCTGACGACTTCTATTGATTCGGACCAGAGAGATAGAGAACAAAGATACTTTTAATTTCATTGTGGTGAATATCTAACTATAATTAATTAACAGAAGTTTGACATGTACATAAATCATGGAGGGGTGGAGGGGAGAATAGAGTTGGAGTGGGAATTCGATTAGGGTTTTGATAATCCGGAGTTAATCCTTGTCCAAGTAGAGTAAGGAGTGGGTATTTGTGATTCACTCCTAATCT